GTTAACAAATATCACCTATGCTGGAGTCGTGTATTGCCGGACTTGTTTACCAATCGTTTGTTCTTTGTTTTTCTTCTGAATGTAAATGTGGATTTTTCCGATTACCTGACCAGTAATACGGGATAACGTGACCGGGGATACTTACTTCATCTAAGCACCTGACCCTATATTTCTAGAATTTCCGATGTTCTGTGTTTAATGCCCTTTTTACAAATTTATTTTGTCTATATTTCTTAAATTATTTGTAATTATCTTCACCCTTTCCATTGAAAAAAGAATTAATTTGTCTGCTATGTTTTTTGGACGTAATATATTGGGGTCCCCATGTAACCCAGTCATATTTCAGACAGGATAACCATGCATTTTATGCCTGTGTGGATATAGACGTTTGCTTCGTAGCTATAATTGTAAAGCACTTGGTAACTATAAAAGAAACTATGTGTTTCATCCATGGCAGGTGAGAGAGTGTTACTAAAGAAAATTACAAAAGTAGCACAGGTCAACACTCTATTCAAATAAATACAAAAACAAGTTAACTGCAAAACAGATGAAAACAAAGGTATTTTAGATGAAGAGACACACACATGCAGATGAATACACATACAGAAGCCTTTTTTATTGAGAGTAGGTATGACAAAATTGCAGTCATGTGTCACAAATGCAAAGGGTTATATATCAGCTATACATGCCGTATGGCTATTTACGAGCCATGTTTAAAATTAAGATGCATTCAATTGTTTGTATAGTGAATATCAATATTCTAAAGTCTATCGGCTACTTCAACGGTTAACACTCTTTAATTATGTTATGGAGTCCTGTTGAATTAGAAAGTAATCATATCAAGCTCACTGACCATCTGTGGCAAAAGTTGCTATTGCTTGCATTAGTTCTTTAAATACATAAAATTAGTTCAATTTCAATGACGTAATACAAAGTTAAAATAATAGTTATATGATACTGTAAAACTTATTGATTTATCATTATATGGTTTCTAAAACTTCGATATTTTGTTCTTGTATATAAAATCTCTCTTTGTATATGAATTGGAAAAAATCAACCACACATGTTTTGTCCACATAGTTTGAAATATGGCCTATCAGACCCCTGAAGGAAGATTGTAAAATCTGACATCCGCCTTAAGAATGAGCCTTATTTCAACATCATTTATAGATCAATTGCAAATTATTATGTAATAAGTGTAAGTGTAATATTGTTTATAACGACAACCGTTTTGTTACTAAAACTTAGAAAATTATGTTAACACTGGAAAATTTGAGTTACATATTATTTAAGAAATGAATTAAATAGCAACCCAAATAATAGTTCATAACCTAGGTTGGGGCAATTTACGCTTATAAACCGCGAAGCGGTTTATAAAAAGCGTAAACAGGTCCAACCCAGGTTATAGCAGTATAATTTGGCTTGCTATTTAATTCATTACCTATAATTTAATTTTCAATCATTAAGAATGTAAAACAAGCCAATTTTTCTGTTTAAAACGCCGTCAAATTGTTCATATTTTAAACGTAACGTCAAGCGGATTAATACGATTTTGACGTAAGTCATTGTGCCGTAAGCAAACCAGATTATACAATTTAGATTAATTTTTATCCAATCAAATGACGCGTTACACCTAAAATTAAATTATCTTAAAATAGAACATATATAGCGCCAGAATTGAACATTCACATGTTGAAATTTTACATTTTAAGTTTTCTTTCGAGAAACTGTATGATTCATTTTTTCAAAAAGATTCAACAGAATGATTCAATTGGGTTCTAAAATAAACTAGTGGCACTATGAGCAATGAGCTCACTTAATGATACCCCCGCCTCCCATATGGTTATAATGGGAAAGTCCATGTATTGCTGTAGCTGGGAAACCCAAAATATGTGTCGGATCAAAAAGTAATATAAGAGGTGCACAATGGCAATATGTAATAAAGATTCTGTGAAAGTTTCATTATATTTCTTTCAGTGGTATAAGAGGAGTTGAGGATAAGGGATGGGTAACCCAAAGCGTAACAGACAGACGGACGGACATACCGATAACTATATTCCCACCAACTTTTCAAGTGAATAATGTGTAACCAGAAGTCTCTGTCGAGACTGTAGCTATACTGGTATACTTATCAAATACCATTGCACTATTTTATGTATCTTTGTGTAGTCTACTTGTGTGCCAAGTTATATTGAAATCAGACCAAAACTGTAGAAGGAGTAGTGTTTTAAAGGAATTTCACAGAAAATTCTATTTTAGTAACCATGGCAACATCGTTCATCGAAATCAAAAACCAATACACTATTCTATGTATTTTAGTGTAGTATACTTGTGTGCCACGTTAAATTAAAATCAGAATAAAATTGTAGGAGGAGTAGCGTTTTGAAAAATTACAGACAGACAGACAGAAAGACAGACGGACGGACGCCGGAAGCATTACTATCGCATAAGCTCTTTTAGTCTCTGACCAGTAGAGCTAAAAATGAAGAAAATCAAAGCAATAGTTTAAGATATTTTGGCGATTTAAAAATTTCAATGAAAAAAAATCAAAGATTCAGTAGATGACACACAATAAATGAACTTTGGCCTCTTGATATGACCTTGACCTTTATAGAACAAAAAGAATTGACTCCACTTAAATAAGTGTCCAAATATCAGCCCTCTGCCATTTCTGGAACAAAAGTTACGCTGCATTTCATAACAGACTACTACATGCCGCTTTATCGCATTTAGATAGCGCAAACACATTCTAAAATGTGAATTTCCCTATTCACCAATATGTAGGATTCTCTGACTTTTTCACAAAATATGACAAAAACATGCCACAACTTATTTTTTTTCTTACAAGGATCATTCATTGTTGTCAATATAATAATAGTATTCTTCTTTTCTTTTATAATTTTTAATAAATAAGTTAAATATCATTACTCGTCATTTGCTTTCATGTAAAACATACGTTTTATCACAATTTTCTTAAAGTAGAATACAGAAAAACAGATTGGTGTGGTAGTGTGCTACTATACATGAAAAAAGCAGCACCTAGTTTATAGAACGATTTTTCTTGGTATGACACTTCTAACCATGAAACATAACAAACTTTATAACACATAATAAATGCAAATATACAGATATAAAGATAGGACATACAAAGAATGAATTACAACTTCTTTTCATTTCTTAACCTAAAAGCTTAATACAAAAATTTACCGAAATTACAAAGCGCAGAAAAGTTATGTACACTCAATAATTGGACTAGGTTGAATTCGGATGATTTTTTCAGGAATAACTTTATATATGTATTATTTACTTCTCAAGTCCTTGTATAGGGAACAAATTAAAACAAAATGAAATTCATCTTCTATGATGGTTTTACAAAATTCACAAAATCGAAATTCCTTTACAATATTTCTATGCCGTCTATGTTCAATTGCCATGTTATGGGAAGACATTCTTTTTCTACTTTTTTTTTTATAAAGAGGAGGTATTGACTTTCGTAAATAATATTACAAGGTTAAATAATCTGCAATATGTCTGTAAAAAATAAATATTTTGAACAATTAATTTCTGCCATGAGATTTTGTATGAATCCCTGGGTGTTTTTACTTCCTTCTGCAGCATTTCTATCGCTATATATAAATCAGACAATCCAGCGTTAATTAATTGATGCAGATTCCCTGACAGTAAATAAAGAACTTGATCATCAACCTGTCTTCAGAGCATAAGCTCTTTTAGTCTCTGACCAGTAGAGCTAAAAATGAAGAAAATCAAAGCAATAGTTTAAGATATTTTGGCGATTTAAAAATTTCAATGAAAAAAAATCAAAGATTCAGTAGATGACACACAATAAATGAACTTTGGCCTCTTGATATGACCTTGACCTTTATAGAACAAAAAGAATTGACTCTACTTAAATAAGTGTCCAAATATCAGCCCTCTGCCATTTCTAGAACAAAAGTTACACTGCATTTCATAACAGACTACTACATGTCGCTTTATCGCATTTAGATAGCGCAAACACATTCTAAAATGTGAATTTCCCTATTCACCAATATGTAGGATGCTCTGATTTTTTCACAAAATATGACAAAAACATGCCACAACTTATATTTTTTGCTTACAAGGATCATTCATTGTTGTCAATATAATAATATCATTCTTCTTTTCTTTTATAATTTTTAATAAATAAGTTAAATATCATTACTCGTCATTTGCTTTCATGTAAAACATACGTTTTATCACAATTTTCTTAAAGTAGAATACAGAAAAACAGATTGGTGTGGTAGTGTGCTACTATACATGAAAAAAAGCAGCACCTAGTTTATAGAACGATTTTTCTTGGTATGACACTTCTAACCATGAAACATAACAAACTTTATAACACATAATAAATGCAAACATACAGATATAAAGATAGAACATACAAAGAATGAATTACAACTTCTTTTCATTTCTTAACCTAAAAGCTTGATACAAAAATTTACCGAAATTACAAAGCGCAGAAAAGTTATGTACATTCAATAATTGGACTAGTTTGAATTCGGATGATTTTTTCAGGAATAACTTTATATATGTATTATTTACTTCTCAAGTCCTTGTATTGGGAACAAATTAAAACAAAATGAAATTCATCTTCTATGATGGTTTTACAAAATTCACAAAATCGAAATTCCTTTACAATATTTCTATGCCGTCTATGTTCAATTGCCATGTTATGGGAAGACATTCTTTTTCTATTTTTTTTTATAAAGAGGAGGTATTGACTTTCGTAAATAATATTACAAGGTTAAATAATCTGCAATATGTCTGTAAAAAATAAATATTTTGAACAATTAATTTCTGCCATGAGAATTTGTATGAATCCCTGGGTGTTTTTACTTCCTTCTGCAACATTTCTATCGCTATATATAAATCAAACAATCCAGCGTTAATTAATTGATACAGATTCCCTGACAGTATATAAGGAACTTGATCATCAACCTGTCTTCAGAGTCCACAATCAACATGGGTAAACTCTTGGTTGTAGTGGCTGTTCTCTGCCTGGTTGCGGTGGCATACGGTAAGTGTACTTAATATGTTATATTCTGTATAAGATATGGAGATAATAAACAACATTCGGGCTAGAGGTCCATTTAAGGCATGTCACTCGTCAGCTTTTTCGTAAAGTTCAGGCAGTACCTCTTTTTCAAAATTATTTATTATAATTCAATTTTTATAACACATGTAAAAGTGTATATTGTTTAACATCAAATGAAGAAACAGCTCAAAATTGCATAAAAGAGAAAGATTTATGAAGGACTACTTCTTGATGTGGAAGGATATTTAATATAAAATTCTGCAAATCTGCACATTAATCAAATTCAATATCTTAGAACTTAAGCCTCACATACTTTTACTCAGAGAATATTTTCTCTTTTGATATGGTAGAAATATTAAATTTAGGACTCAATTCGTATTTTCATGACAAAATTTACACTTTCCCTCAACAAACTTTGCCAAAAAATGAAAATATATTTAAAAGTCCAGATAAAATTTACACCGTTTTTTGTCTGAAAAACGCACATTTTGACCAAGATTTCAAAATTTACAGCACCTAACCCATCACTTTCTTTTTTATTTTAAACTACTCGATACCTGTGGACTAACTTCACTAAAGTCGTAAAAAAAAGTTGATACATAAATATTTTATTGCCTCTTGATATCTTTATCCCAAATATTTTATTTTTAGTGCAAAAAGGTCACATAATAATTTACGCCCATTAATTTGAAAGATTTGTTCAATGGTAAATATATTTATTTTATATTTATTGTAATGATTATGTCAAATAAAATATGAAAAAGGTTAAAGTGATTAAGCAAGCAGTTAAATTTTAAGTATAAAAACGTCAATTTCATTGTACCTCAGCTAAGTAAGATGCACATTGATCCCCTATTTTCTGTGCAATTTTGAGTCACACAATATGAGTACTAGTATTTATTTTAAGTATTTGTTATCAAGTGATACTTTTTATCTGTTAATCAATGATATATTTTTAAATCGTAGAATTCTTAACTTTTTAAACCAAAGCAAACACGGATTCCAAAAAACATTGATGTATTTGCTTATAAGGCTATTGTTTAGACCATATAACTTGCGAAATAATGACTTCAAACGAGACTGTTGATATCTTTTGTTTTATAGGGGTCTTGTCTTAACATTTGGAAAAAATAAACAGGAAAACAAATGAACATCCAACAACTGGGGAATATGAACTCCATATATAGATTATAGTGGTTTATTGTTCACATCTCTTTCGTTCAGATATGTTTGTTGTTATGGCAATTTTCTTGCAAATAACAAACTCTATTCATCTCCGTAAAAGATTTGAAATTCTAACTAATTATATTGTCCTTGATTTTTTCCTGGCTTAACACGTGTGTATTTCCTTTCCCTGTTACCAAAATGATTATAAAATTGTACAGTTTTGTCTGTTATATGTATACATGTATATACACAAAGTTCAATGTTCAAACTAATAAGTCTATATTATTCTATAACTAGTAATTTCATGTACAGACCTTTTTTGATACATATTTTCTAGTTAACAACAAATTACAGTTGTGTGTGATATCTTTTATAGTTTCTAATCTTTGTATTTTTTAAAGTCCATTTTAATACCGATCAAAGATTAAACTGAACCACGTGTTCGAAACAAATGGCGTACATGTAAACATTCCTATTCATTCAACGATTTGTCAATTATCAGCGGTAATATCTGCTGTGCACATTAATAACAATAGACATAAATAGTAAAAAAAATTATATTCAACACTGATACAAAGATATTCCACATTTTTTCTACCAGAGTATCGGGCGATAATGGTTTAATTGTCGATCACTAGTGAGCTACAATATCATAAAAGGAAAAATAAAAGTATTTGTAATTTTTAAGCCCCATTCACCCTTTTCTGTTTAAAATCATTAAAAAAATCAGAATGGTCTGGATACACATTTCTCATAGATGAGGAAACAAACTGTAAATGGTCGTCTAGCTGTGCCAAAAATAGCAATAATGCAATACATTGTAACATTTCATTGTGTATTGCCCATTTCAAATATAAAAATGGTTATAAATTACTTTAAATATATGATTATCTAACTCTCCATTTGTAACTGGTTTTATGAAGATTGTACCACAGGTTAAAAAATATCCAAAATTAATTTGATCTATTTATTTAATATTTATTTTTATTTTGGAGGATCGGGAGGATATGGTGGATATGGAGGTTATGGAGGATATGGAGGAGGCTGGGGAGGATTGGGAGGAATAGGTGGAGGACATGGAGGATTGGTAGTATTAAGTGGAGGAAAAGGAGTAGGATGGGGAGGATTGGGTGGAGGATTTGGTGGAGGATTTGGAGGCATTGGAAAGTTTAATGCTGGAGGAATTTACGCTGGAGGTGGCTAAGGGAAAGAGTACTGAAGAGGTCCCGGGGAGAAAAATACAGAGAATTCGGACAAACAGGATACAGTTAGCACTGCTCGATCAGCTGTAATTAATTTAGCTTTATTAAATCTTGCAACTTACTTCACCTTAGTTTTGTTATAGAAGAATCGATGCTACATTTTGGGTCATAATATATACACGAGTGGTGTTTTTAAATGCAATTTTTCGTTTTGTATTTTAAAACTGGTAATTCTTGAAAAAATATTAGGAAATAACACTATTTTGGGAACCTAATTGAAGAATATCCTTTATATTTTTTTCATTCCACTGTCCTCTACAAAAATTTGAATTTTTTAATTAAAATTTGTATATAAGATAGTCATGTTGTATATTTTATTTGATAAAATAAAGTAAATCAGGAAAGACAATATGACAGGATTTCTGTAAAT